ATTATACTGTAAATTCCATGTTCACGACTGCACCGGGATTCCCTCTGCTTCACGGAAATCATACGCCCCCTTAACTTATAACTTCTTATTAATGCGACACACCTTCATCTGCACGCAGGGATGGTGTCCGCGAATATGAGTGAAGATGTCGTCCTAAAGGACAACCCCGCATTCGTTTTTTTTTTTAAATATCCAAAGTATTCCCATACTGCAGATTTTAACTTTTTTTTCGGCGGGGATGGAGATTAGATATTATCTCTGTCTCTGTCATTTTCTCCGCTGCACGTGCGTGTAAGTAGCCAAGTGAATGCAGAATGAAGCAGCTGAGCAGAAATAAGTTGCATATGCGCGGGTGAGATTTTTTTCTTCTTCATTCATTTAAAAAAAAACTAAAACCCGTAAATATGCAAGATATATGAAGACTTCAGATGCAAAAACCTCTTAAGTCCGTCTGAGATTTTCATCAGGCTACTATGAAAATATCATTGCACATTTTTGAAAATAAGGCATTCAATTGCCAATGCAACACTTAAAATTATATAGACACTTTAAAAACACAAAGTAAAAAAATAAAAAAATAAATTATATATATATAAAACACATAAGCTAAAAACTTTAATAGTACAGCAATGATCCTAAAATATAATTTTGGCCTCTAGCTTATTCAGCCAGACTCTAGATTCTGGAGTTGCTCTGGATTAAACGGATGCAGTGTAAACATATTCCTTGGAGCTATAATGCATCACGATGGTGTGTGTCCGCACCTGGTACGCCTGGGGAACTGGGTACTGTATTCCTGGAGTAGGCTGCATGCCGTCAGCCACAGCCTCGAATACTGCAGGCGCTGGGGCAAGAACCCTGTGCTGGAAGCCCTCGGCGCTGCCGGGAAGCCGGTGCTGTTGTGGGGTGAACACTGGCTCCTGATCCTCTAAACGCCTCCTCATGCTGTACTCATACTCAGACAGAAACTAAGACCTGGAACAGACAAGACAAAGACAGCAACTAATTATCATGATTTGGCTGTAGTCCAAGCCATTACCAACAGGAGATCTACTATTCTAGACTCTGACTAGCTGATGAATAAAGGCCACAAAAATTTATATGTATATACAAACATGAATGGTGTTTATATATACATGAGCAATAGTGCGCAAATGTATATATAAATATACATGTGCATGGTGAGTATATGCGTATTTGCATATATAAATGACTGAATGAGGCAAATGCATAGGTGTGTATAAATAAGTGCGTATATAAATGTATGTGTGTGTATATACACATGTGCTTGATGTGTCTGCGTCTCCTGCACATGCACAGTTAATGCTAACTTGCTAACCCGCGACTAAAAATGACTAAGTTTAGTCGGGAATTTCGCTTTTATCAAATAAACTAAGAAAACTAAAGGTCGGAAGTTTCAGTCTGACAGAAAAACATCTTATTGAGGGGGAAAAAAAGTTCAGAAATACTGAATAAAACTGGTATTATATACCTCTGAGACTCACCCGTTTCTGCTAGCTGCGCTTATAGTACACCACCGCTGTTAAAATGTCACCGACATACTAAAACTCACACCGAAAACAACGATAAAACGCATTAAAACTGAGTTTAAAAACAACTAACGCAGAAAATGCCTGCTGAAAACAAGCGCTGAGGAGGGGCGTGGCTAACATAGGCTTTGCGAACAGTCTCCGCCCACTTGGTCTCTGATTGGCTCTTTGCTCGGGAGAAGACATAGGGTTGTGCTTTTATTGAAGTTCTCGACTGTCACTCAGACAAGTACTAACATTGTTAGGGGGGTTGAGCCCAAACCCTCTGCTGTTTATCTCTCTCACTCTCACACACACACACACACACACACACACACAAACAAACAAACAAACAATCTCCTCGAACAACAACTGGCTTTGAGCAGCAACGTACTCTCAACCTCTTTTTAGACTGGAGAGTGAGTAGCGATCTGGTCGGGCTTAACTTTACTATAATGCGCCACCATCACTCTTTGTGATATAAAATCGCGGCATTACGTCTGAAAAATGCTTTCAGCAGCTTCCTGAACTTCCTGCCTGTGGTTACGTCATTCTTTACGCCCCCTCAAAACAGCTGGCCAATCAGAATGAAGAATTTCATTGAAGGAACGCCTCTTATAGAAATCTCGACTCCGATTGGCCAGGCGCGCTGAGAACGCGAAAAGCATGACGTAAGCCCACAGGGGCGTTTACGCGGCGGAATCGTCCATTCGAATTGGTCGGGCGCTCTGAGAGGGCGTTATGTATGACGTGCGGCTCATATTGCCACGCTCCGCCCACGAGAGGCGGGGCTTAAGCTAGTGCCCGGGATTCCTCCTCGCCCCGTCCGTCCGCAGTCAGTCAGAGCTGAGGCTCACGCGTGTATGCGTGCACAGCGTTTCGCTTAAAATTCGGACAAAACCCAAAACAAAACAGCTCAAACTTACAGAATAAACAAGTTCGGACGGATTTCGATGCAAAGCGTTCAAATATTCAGCATGTTCGCGAGCGCAATAACACGACACCGAACAAAAGATTCGCGTATAAACACCCTCAAACGTTTATTAAGGACACATTTCACGATCTCTCGTGATTTCTGGATTGAACAAGCACACACGAACATGACACCACAACCACACACGCCTCTATCATGACATGTTGTCCTTTAGTAATCAGACCCAAAGTCAAAATGGGAACTAAAAATCTGATCGCATGAACACGGACTCGCTAATGTGATCATACGAAGATGTGAAACGAGAGATCCGATCATATATTACAGCACAAACACGCCAGCTGATCTAATATTCTTTGTTTACTGGGAAGACTGAAGGGGAAAATGTCTAACCGTGTTTGAACACCTCTTCCCTCCCCCTCTGAACACCAGACAGAGCTGCAGATCTGCCTTCAGATCAAAAACAAGTTAGAAAAGCCCTCGGACACACACAGATGGGTTTGTGTGTCATAACATAAAGATACGTTTCTTTGCTGCTTCAGTTGGCCAAAGCTTTGCCCCTTTTTCTCCCCTTAATGTGCCATGATCGAACGAACAACCCGATTAACACACTAAAATCTCCTGAACGTCCAGCCCCCTGCAGAAAGCACTCAAACACCGCTAGAAACACATATTCGATCAAAAGAGGACAACATAAATTTGTTTTCTTTTGCCCAGCTGCTACATACCTGCGAAAAAGAGCCTCGCACTCCGGGTTCGTGTTTGGAACAAATAGTTAGGAACGCCCCCCTCTCCTCCCATTGGTGTACGTGACGGCATGCGTCATCTAGATTTGAATACGACCCGCCAAATGCGCACTTGCGCAGGCACAGATGTACTCGCTGCTTCGACACACCTGTAGTATTGCACTAAATGTTTACTTTGCAATGAAACCAGATGCGCAAAATGTGTGTTATCAGATATTTCTTAAAGAACACCGTTTGAATTCGACTATATGCCACTGACGGAGATGTGACACTTATGTTAACCCTTTGCTAAATTCCGCCAGTTATTACTGCGTTAGAACACGCCCCTCGCCAAAACCCCGCCTTCGAAAGGCAGCTCAGCAAAGAGTGCTCAAAATGATTGACAGGTAGAGAACGTTTCTGATTGGCTAAATAAGCGCGGGCCGCTCCTCTTACACTCTGCAACAGGTATTTAAGCGATATCTATTATTTTATGTGTGGTATTGGACGTAAAATTAACTCGCAGTACTGTTTACCAATTTTTGTTGTCGTTTTATGTACTTCACCAAAATCATACTATACTAGATAAAGTGTAGCATTAATATAAATATAGTCTCTGAAAAAACGCATAGGCCTACTGTGGGCGAAAAAACATATATAACAGAACATATATTCTTCTGTAAGTGTTAGGCACACATTTGCAAAACTTTGTATTCTTTCCCCCCCCAAAAAAATCTTTAGGTTTATAACTATTCATTTTTGAACTGGAAATCACTACAGGAACTTTAATCTAGTTGTGAAAGTTTCAATTAAAACACTCAGTCAATACTGTTTGTCGATTTAATAAACATTAAAACATGGTTTTGATTTGGTTTTTCTCAAATGATATTGCAGTTTGAACAGCTCGGTTTTGAGATCGAGATGGACACCAAGACAGCCGAAACCTGTACAGTCTTTTCACATAAACATTTCACTCAATCCAAACCTACATGAGGAATAAGGCTCTTTAACGGCAGAGCAAAGCACTTTATCATCACTAACAGAACCGCTGCAAACTTATTGATAATCACAAGCTTGACATTACAGGTTAAGTTTTTCCATAAGAAACAAGTAGAAATAAAAGATAAAATTGGATATAAAAGAAAATATAATTTACGTATATATATATTTGGGAGTAATAAGTAAAGACAAAGTTTGGGTGTAATAGAAAAATACAATTGGTCACATTGTGTGCCCATCAAGGCAGGACTGCAGATCCTGGAATCATTGGGAGTGTGTACAGATGCTTCACTACAAGGAAATTCAATATGAATTCAGTAGCAAAGACTCTTTCAACCCACAACAAAATAAAAAGCGATTCTAAATGCACTTTACAGGAGCGTTTAGATATTTTAAACCGGTTATTAGTACAATATTAACAGACAAAATTATTAAAAGTGTAAATGACTCCATTTAGCCATCTCACATTTACACCAGACTAAATAAAGACTATATCAGTTGAATAATTGTTGCGTTATAGAGGTTTACCGATCCACCCAGTTGATGTGAAGAAGACTTTTCCTCATCCTGGCCGTCTAAACCATCATCTTCAGATGCAATTGCAAAAATGTCCTACAAACCACAGAGACATTCCTGATACAGAATACAGGCAGAATTGAGACAATAAGCCTGCATTCAATTCCAGCAAATACAAAAAAATCTCTAGTGTGCAATGACTGCATCCCATGGGTCAGACATGAGTATGAAACTCAAGAAAAGAGAAAAAAAAAATTCACTGTTACGTAATTTCAAACCTGTATGACTTCCTTTCTTTTGTGAAACACAAAAGGAGTATAATTACATTCAGCTGTTACACAGAAAAAAAACAAGTAAAATGGATTTGAAACGACACGATTGTGAGTAAATAAAGACTTTGTTTGTGGGCAAATTAACCCCACATAAACACGAGAACGGACAGTTGGTCTGAGGTGTTATGAAATAAAAAGACCTACAGCATGACAAATGACTCCAATTTCTAGAAATTGTATGTTCGGTACGTTCGTTTGTCCTGGATCACATTTGAGCGCGGCTGATTTGAAGCTTCATGTGAAATGCATGAATTTTGACAAATTCACAGAATAAACTGCACAAAATGCAGCACAACATTACATAGACTACACTATAGCTGGATCACTGAACATTTAGACACCCTCTTCATACGGAGTCAGTTATGGTTACTATTTATGCTGCCTGTCTTTTGATAATGACAGATTAATCAAAAACCCAGTGATTTTAATTGGGAATTATCCTGTCTAAGAGTCGCCGATCAATCAAGAACGAGTATTGTCTTATGATTGGAGGAGAGCAGGCCTTGCCTCTTACTGATTGGTTGAGATTAGACCTTTTCGGTCTCTGATTGGCTACAAGTGGGCCCTGCTGCTCACTGATTGGCTGAAAGTAGGCCCTGCCTCTGGGCGTGCTCGAGGATGGCGGTGTGGCAGAAATAGTACTGCTCGGGTGTTTGGATGCTGAAGGCACGTTGCGCTCTCATCCGTCGAACCGTCTGGCAAACGTTAAGAGTCCCGACGTCCTGCAGCTGGGACAGGCAGATATTCAGCGCACAAAAAGTACCTGCGGGCAGAGGAAGTCAGTCTGATAAGCCATTAAAGGGACAGTCCGCCCAAAATTCTAACCCTAGAGTTGTTACAAACTTGTATGACTTTCTTACTTCAGTGGAACATGAAGGAAGATATTTTGAAGACTGTTGGTAACCAAATCGTTTCGGTTCCCACTGACTTCCATTGTCTTTTTTGTCCATACAATGGAAGTCAATGGGAACCAAAACTATTTAGTTACCAACATCCCAACATTCTTCAAAATATCTTCTTTTATGTTCATTTACTAAACCTGTTTGACTGACTTTCTTCTGTGGAACATAAAAAAATATTTTGGAGAATGTTGCTAACTAAATAGTTTCGGTTCCCACTGACTTCCATTGTGTTTTTGTCCATACAATGGAAGTCAATGGGAATCAAAAGTGTTTGGTTGCCAATATCCCAACATTCTTCAAAATATCTTATTTTATGTTCATTTACTACACCTGTATGACTTTCTTCCATCTGTAGAACATGAAAGAAAATATTTTGAGGACTGACTTTCTTCTGTGGAACAAGACAGAAGACATTTTGATGAATGTTGGTAACCAAATAATTTTGGCTCCTATTGACTTCCATTATATTTTGGTAACCATCATTCTTCAAACTATCTTTCATGTTCCACTGAAGAAAGTAAGTCATACCGGTTAAGCAAATGATTGCAGAATTTTTGGCTGGACCTTTTAAGTGGCTCATTAATATGTAGATTTGGACTTTCTTCCATCTGTAGAACATGAAAGAAAATATTTTGAGGACTGACTTTCTTCTGTGGAACATGACAGAAGACATTTTGATGAATGTTGGTAACCAAATAATTTTGGCTCCTATGACTTACTTTCCTATTGAAAGTAAGTCATACCGGTTTAGCAAATGATGGCAGAATTTTTGGCTGGACCTTTTAAGCGGCTCATTAATATGTAGATTTTTTTTTGTGGTGCGTTTAATTACTGACCAGTCCGGCCGATGCCGGCGCTGCAGTGGACCACCATGGGCGGGTCGAGCGGATGACCCCTCCACTGTGAGCCGAAAGCCTGGACCGCCCACTGCTGCTGGTGCTTCACGGCACCCAGGAAGTCAATCAGAGACAGTGCGGAGGATGGGACCCCGTAATCAGGCCAGCTGAGGAACTGAAAATGAGTCACCTGTCTCTGTTCGAATGTCTGAGAAAAAAACAACGATAAAATAAGTTCAGACGAAGTTCCACTTTACTTTTCTTCAAAGCCAGATATATAGAACCTCCATCTTCAGTGCCACAGCAAAGGAAGCTATATTTTAGTTCTGATTTGACAGTCTGAATTGAATGTGATGACATAAAACGGCTGTGTATTGTGAAACATAAATAACACTTCTTTCTGTCTCTTGTCTTTGTTGGCTGATTCAAAAATAAAACAGCCTGTGTGACCACTGTAGATTCACAAATGAATCTAATGAGCCATTCCTTTAAAGAATCAGCCCAAAAGACTCACAAATTCATGACTTTTCAGTTTGAATCATTCTTACAAATCCGAGAACTGTTATCGTGTTATGTGTGCACCTCTATGGCTGGAGTGACCGATGTATATTAAATATTTAATATATATTTGCAATGATTTTGCTGCAGACATACAGCTGAAAATTGTGAATATTGTCTTTTAAATGCATTATTAAGATACCCAAAGATTATTCATTTAGTTAATATGTACACTACCATTTAAAAGATAAAAAAAAATAAAAATTAATACTTTTATTCAGCAAGAATGCATTAAATTGATCAAAAGCAATAGTAAAGTTCTTTGGAACATTCTATTTGTCAAAGAATCATGAATGTATGACTGTTTCTACAAAAATATTAAGCAGCACAACTGTCTTCAACATTGATAATAAGAAATGTTTCTTGAGCAGCAAATCGGTATATTATAATGATTTCTGAAGGATCGTGCAACACTGAAAACTGGAGAAATGATGCTGAAAATTCAGCTTTGCATCACAAGAATAAAATTGCATTTTAAAATATATACAAATTGGACAAATTATTAAATTTGTATCTTTTATATTCTTTATTTTATTTATTTATTTTAAAAATTCTATTGCCATTTATTACTATGCATTGTATGTTATTCGTGCATATAAATTAAAGTATTTAAATGTTTTTTTTCATTGTTTCATTTAATAAAAAACTGTGGAAAAAAGTAACATGAAATTATGTAACTAGATATTTATTGTATTTTATATTTTGAAACCATTATGCAATAATGGCTATTGGGCTGAAATGATGCTTAAAAGTGCTTTTAAGCCAATTCAGAGCAAATACATCAAAACAGAGCTCAAATACCATCAAAAAGCTGAAAAATACTGAAATTGAATTTTTTAGTAATAACACCCAGCAATACTACAGCCACATTAGGTGGTTGGTGAGACTGAAATCATTATATAAATCATAATTACCGACTTGTTGTTTATTTGGAAACATTAAAATATAAAAACTGGTGTATGTGTGGTACCTCAGTGTTGTGCAGCTCAAGTGTGGTTTGGTTGAAATGTGCATGTTTGTCCACTCTGTGATTGACCACAGCGATGTGCCCGTATACCTCCTGACCGCCCTCTTCCTTGGGCCAGTACTGTCCACACTTCCTCCGGCCCCCCTCATCCGTCCTGCGCACATACATTCACACACAGGTCTCTAAGCAGAGGTCTTCGTAATCTACCGTGAGAGCATCCATATGACACAGCTCTAATCTGATCTCAGAACAGATCGGCTCTACAGAAAAACTGTTTAACAAGTGGCTCAAATCTGATTGGCTGACTTCTATATATTTCTAGGAGTCAGGGTTCATTTTATCAGCCCAATAGGAAACAAAGTTGTATTTATGTTCCCAGGCTGCTACAATGAGAACTTCCGAGGACAAATTAGATAGTAGATTTGCCAAAGTTTGTGCCACTGAATCTCTAAAAGATATTCAAGAGTTTTGAAACATTTTATAGCAAGCAGATGTGAACTCATGAGTACAATTGTACTTTATATTTTGCTCTCTGGTTAAATGTGATTTATGTGAACCTTCACATAAGACGACCGAATAGCGGTCAACCACTTTATATATGTCCACCCTAAGTGGGTGGATTTTGGCCTGAACAAGTGGCAATTTGGACCAGACTTCCTGGTAATAGTAAAAAGTCTGGCTACATCATTTACACATCATTTCATCTATATTTGTTAACTAGACTATCTGTGACGTCTCACCTTGTTGTCATGACGATGACAAGCACACTTTGCTCCCAAACCATTCTCCAGAAATCACCGTAGGTTTTTTCCAATGGACCTGTTAAGAAACAACAAATGCATCAGTTCCAGTGCAGGTTAAGAATCATAACCCTAAATATGATGGGTGAAATACGGTGATTTTTACCCTGAGTCCCAATATATGCATTTTTCTGTTTGTATCCATCCATGAAGCTGGCATTTATGTAGTCTGATCTCTGTGGAAAGAAAACAAGATCAGTGTCCAATCGGAACTTTCAAAAATTTGGGGTCAGTAAGTTTTAAGGAATTAATATTTTTACTCAGCAAGGATGCATTAAATTCATCTAAAGTGACAGAAATACTTTTATGTTACAAATGCTGTTCATGCTTTCTGTTCATCAAAGAAGCTTGAAAAAATGCATCATGGGTTCTACAGAAATATGAAGCAGCACAACTGTTTTTAACACTGAATTCTTGAGCAGCAAATCAGAATGATTTCTGAAGGATCATGAGGCACTGAAGACTGGAGAAATGATGCTGAAAATTCAGCTTTGATCACAGAAATAAATAACATTTTACAATATATTACAACAGAAAACAGTTCTTTTAAATTGTAATGATATTTCACAATATTATTGTTTTTGCTGTATTTTGGATTAAATAAATGCAGCCTTGTTGAGCATCTTTCAAAAACATTAAAAACCACCCCTAATTTTTGAATGGGAGCAAAGATCACTCTAAAGAGGGCCTAAACTGAATGACATCAGATAGCACAAACCTCATTTCTCCTTGCTTCGAGTCGCACACGAGTCTGATCGAGACACAGCACGTCGCCATAGCGATTCCGCTCCTGGTTGTGAGCAGCCCTGCAGAAGTTCAATGACAACATGAAATCAAAGTCTGTTTTACTCTGAAATACCTCACATTACGGAGGGTAAAGTCCCGTAGGTGTCCACACTTACAGCGCATAGGTGAAGGTTCCAGGTGGCTGCTCTCTGCGAAGCTCCTCATACTCCAGGTAGATCCCGCTGCGCTGGGCCCGGTTCAGGTGGGCCATGAGCTCGGCCAGACACATGACCTCAGGTCCAGGGATGTGTATGGACGTGTTCTCCAGCGGAATCCCCACCAGCTCATCCACGGGGTCCACGCGCCTGTTCTGCTCGGACAGCAGCTGCAGGTTCCAGCTGTGCACGTCCAGAGGCAAACAGCCGCCAAGGTGCTCAGGTAAACAGTCTCTGGGCAGATGCTGTCGCAGGTCGCCCATCTTCACCATTTGAACCTGAGAACAGATAACGAAACTGATAATGCAGTCACAAAATGCCACAAAAGATGAGAAAAGTGGGTTAAGCACATAGACCAGAAACAACCAGATCAGCCAAAAATGAAAATTAGCGCATTATTTACTCATCCTCAAGCCATCCTAGGTGTGTATGACTTTCTTCTTTCAGACGAATGCAATCGGAGTTATATTAAAGGGGTCATATGATGCGATTTCAATTTTTCCTTTCTCTTTGGAGTGTTACAAGCTCTTGGTGCATAAAGAAGATCTGTAAAGTTGCAAACACTAAAGTCTCAAATCCAAAGAGATATTCTTTATAAAAGTTAAGAGTTAACCACACCCTCCTAAAACGGCTTGTTCTAACACGCCCCCACATATCTACATCACTATGTGGGAAGATTTGCATAACACCGCCCAAATGTTCACGCAAAGAAAGAAAGCGTGGTTTCAGGAACAGCAGTAGTGTTAATGCAGCCATGTCAGGGAGACGCTGTGTATTTCAGTGCGAATGGAAAAGCACTTTATTTGGCCTTCCGGAAGTAGATGCA